GTGCAGCCCGGGGCCGCAGGGAGCCCGGCCAGAACCGCCCGAGCTCCTCCCTCCAACCCCCAACTACGGACAGATGCAGACGAGGCAGAAGCATGCTGGGCGACCCCAGGGGTCAGCGTCGGTGACGCTCAGATTTGGGGAATCAGCGCAGGCTCTTCCACAGACACATTTCAAGAAAAAAAAAAGATAAAGGGGGAACCCGTAGGTTACAGAGATTTAAGAGACACCAACCGACTGCCATGGGTCGGCCTACTTTAATTTGTACCTCGATTCAAATGAAAAACATAAAAAGCAATTATGATTTTGTAAGACAATTGAAAATTTGAACCCCGACTGGATAGTTGATGATATTAAGAAAATATTGCTAATTTTTAAGTACAACAGTCCTGATGTTATATTTTTCAAGTTCTTATCATTTAGAGGTATTTGTTATTTGCCGATGAAATCATAAAAATTCTGGGATTTACTTTAAAACAACACACGAGAGGAGCAAGTGGATGTACGGAGGACCGGCCAGGGGCCGGCGGTGTGTAGGACGTGGGGCATCGTCACACTTCTGTTTCTGAGTGCACCTGAAATCCTCCACAATAAAGCATCACACACACACACACAAAGGTAAAATACCGCAACGTGGCCGAAACAAATAATAGGAAAATGGTATCACGTGTTGATGGAGACGTGGGACAGCTGGGACGCCCACGGCAGGTGGGTGGAAGATGAAGTCTGGAAACCGGTTTGGTAGTTTCTAATGAGGGAAATACACACCTATCCTACAACCAGCAAGTCCACCCTTTTTTTGTTAATCCTCACCCGAGGATATTTTATTGATTTCAGAGACAGGAATGGAGAGAGAAAAAGACAAAAAAAATCAATGTGAGAAACATCAATTGCTTTGCCTCTTGTATGAGCCATGACTGGGGATCAAACCCAAAACCTGGGTATGTGCCCTGACCTGGCATGTACAGTGTGACTGAAACCGTGGCCCATGCGCAGAAGTCGGTATTTTGTGGAAGAGCCACACTCAAGGGGCCAAAGAGCCGCATGTGGTTCGTGAACCGCAGTTTGCCGACCACTGGGCTATACTATCCTATAGCAAATGAAGCACACACCCCTACTACATGCTGCTGGGAGCCGGTCCACCCTTGCTGCTTGACACAGTCGCTGCAGGGAACGAACATCTGCACAGCATATGTTTCAAGGGACCTGGCGTATATGGCATACTGTTCTTAATGTTTGCTCCCCTTAGCGCTATGTGTTTTAACCAAGGTCACCTCTCCGAGAAAGGTTGTTTCCCCAGGTGGGGATTTTTCCCTAGAGTTAGGGAGGGAATAAAACCCCTTAACTAAGTGCCAGGCGGGTAGTTAATCACTTTAACTACGAACAATCATGCTTAAGCTACATAATCTTCACTCCCTGGAATGGAGATAAGAAATGCCCTTACCTTTGGAATAGGGATTGATAGGATTGGAATCAACTGGTATAAATACAGATGTAACAAGACAACAGGACATAGAACCTAGACAGAACCTAGAGACGGAACATGGCAAAAGATCCTGGACAGAACCTGGCAAGAGAACCTAGAGACAGAACCTGGCTACAGAACCTGGATAGAACATGGCAGAGAACCTGACTAGAACCTGGTGACCGCACCTAGTTGCAGAACCTGGACAGAACCTAGCGAGGGAACATGGCTACAGAACCTGGAGAACCTGGCTGGAGACCCTAGCAAGAGAACATGGACACAGAACCTGGCTGGAGATCCTAACCAGAACTTCGCTGGAGATCCAGAGCAGAACTCGGCTAGAGATCCTGGCAAGGCTGCTGATCAACTGAACGCTGTCTCTGTGTCATTTCTTCTTTGCCGACTCCGTCCACACCTTTGGGGACCCCTGGACCTGCTGGGGTTGGACCCCAGCAACATGCCACCACACGGGTGAGTTTCATAGACATAATGTTGGGCAAAGTCAGGCATCAAACAATGCATAACGGATGCTCCCACTTACAAGCAGTGCCCACACTGCACTGAGGCGTAAGGAAGCCGGAGCAGAGGGTTATCTTTGAGGAAGTGGCAGGGGATTTGCTGCCTGGGAGGGAGGCGGGGGTTGCTGATGAGAGGCTGTGCAGAGCTGGGTGGTGGCTACACAGGTGTACATACGTGTGCACATTCACTGGGCTGTCTGCTGAAGAGCTGTGCTCTTTACCACACGTATATTGTATTTTATTGACAAAGCTAAGGTTGTCTGCAAAAGTCCTGGGGGCAGGACATGGAATAACACCAAGTAGTAACACCAAGAGTTCCCAAACCCGGGGAAAAGCAGCGCCTGCCTTCTGTGTCATACCTCACACTTTACGGACACAGCCCTGGTCCCGCAGGGGGCACTGGGGCTCAGAGAAGGAGAGTGATAGGGTAGAGAGGGGACAGCCATCAGGGGTCACGGCTTATGGACCAGGGCTCCGTCCCTCTCTTGCTGTTGCTACGACACTCCTTCCCACCACACCCCCCCCCTCGCAGGAGTCCAAACAGGCCACTGCTCCCTGGTGCCGTTCCTGCTGCTGAACGTAAGGGTCGACTCCAGTGACCGGTGCAGCCATACTCGTGCCGGCGCACCCCTCGCTACGCGTGCTTCTGGCAGAAGACCTTAACTGCAGCATCGAATCCATTTGCTAATCGCTGTGCACATGTCCACTGCACTTGCACAGGAACAATGTTTCCCACTTTTTCCTCCCCTGCTCTTTAATTTGTAGTGTGCCCTCCCCGCGCGCCCCCCCTCCCCCCGAATATATTGGTGTGAGAAGAACTTCCTGGGGTTTAAATGTAACAAATTCATCTTCTTATAAAATAGCACTTCAGCCCCTGGCTGGGTGGCTCAGCTGGTCGCACATCCTCCCACGCACCCAAAGGCTGTGGGTCTGATTCCTGGCCAGGACACATGCCTAGGTTGCAGGCTTCATCCCCGTTGGGGTGCGTATGGGAGGCAACCGATGGGTGTTTCTCTCTCCTCCCTCCCCCTCTAAAAATCCGTGACTATGGCTTCAGGTGAGGATTAAGAAAAGAGAACAGACACCCCTGTTATTTTCCAGAGGGGCTTGTGGCTCCAGTGGAGAGGCAGAGGCGGAGGGGTGCCGGCAGCAACTCAGAGCTCTGCAGCTCTCGCTCACCAACGGAGCAAGCTGCCCCGCGGAGCCTGCAGCCAGCCTTTTAGGCGCCCCGACAGCCCCCCTACTGGCCGGGACCGGGAGCCGCTGGCTGCTGGCACCAGGGGTCTGGATGTGCCTTGACTAGGAAGAGCTTGGAACCTGAGTGCAGAGCACGAGAAAGGAATTGGCAAGCTTGCTCTGCGAGGCTCCTATGGTCAGCAATACCCGCTGGTCCAGTGGGCAGGCCTCCAGCCCCCGTTTTGAGGAGACTCAGAAAAAAGAAACGCGGGTTAAAAAACATAAAGTAAAAAAGACATTCCTAGGAAGCGTTTGGCACGATTGCAAACGGCATCCTCAATTGGCAGAGGGCTTCACAATTATTTCCAGACAACTCCACACAGACCTCAGCCGGAGGCGTCGGCACAGACAAGGACAAGTGCTTGTGCACGGGGCGAGATTAGTTCACCCACGCACACGCACACGCACACGCACAGGTGCTCAACGGATTACAACCGCGAGGGCGCAGGACACCAGGGCGGGGCTGCCGCTCTGGTCGATGACCGATCCACAGGCTTACGCAGGAAAACACACATGAACCAAACCAGGGACGGGTCTATTACCTATGAGAACCCTCTAAAATGGGAACTGTCGGCCTTCACATAACAAAGATGACACCTAATGTACTTTTATGTATGAGCAAGGAAGACACCACGTGCCTGTGTTCACACAGTATAACAAATTCATGCCCCGAGCGCCCGCAGAAGTGGGGCCCCCTCCTCATCTCACACCAAGGAGCGGAGACGGTGAGCGTGAGGTGCTTTGCCAAATCGCCGCTTTCTGGGTCGCCCACAGTGGGGCCGGGCTCTCTGCGGGTGAAATCCGCCCGCTGCGCACACCTGTAAGACGCCCAGCTGGGTCTGGATGAGGGCAGGTGCAGGGCCCTTAAAGGGACAACAGCCTTTGCTGGACATCATGAGTTTAGCTTCATTTAAAGAATTATTGGACCCTCAATAAATAATAATTTTTATCCCTGTTCGCAGCCTGGAAAAAAGAAAACCGGGAGTTGGATCTGGTCAGTGGTTTCACAGTAGAACCCCTGACACGGTGAACCAGGCCCAAGGCGGGAGGGGTCGGGTTCGGCTGTGGCAGCCTGTCCCTCAGGCAGCTGGCCTTCCTCTCGTTACGAGTCAAGGGATTAAAACCGTGGATGACGTACATCCCAAGGCCACCAGCTCTACATTTCACAAATCCGGTTTTAGATCGTTCAACTACCATCAGAGTAAGCTGGGGGTTTTGTTTACCATATGGGCCATTTCGGCAACAGGAAGGGTTTTCTGGGGCAGGCTGGTCACTGGCAGCAGCGGAAGGGGTTTCATATGAACCAAAGAGCAGGAATTACACACAGTTGGGAAACATGAGATTCATCCCATAAACGCGGACTTTCCAAATTGGAGTGGGAAGCGCCTGACTTGCTGTAGGCCCTGGGCGAGCGGGCCTCTCGTTCTCAGGGAAGCCTGATCAGACGGCAGTGATGTGCCCGTGGTGAGGGCGTGACTGTGGGTGACGTGGGACTCGAGAGAACATGCAGCCCCCTGTGCTGGCCGGTACGGGACGGTCCACGCTCGTCCTGGCTGCTCCCCAGCCCCAGGTCCCCAGTTCTTTTTTGTTGTTGTTAATCCTCACCCGAGGATATTTTCCCATTTTAGAGAGAATGAACGGGAGGAGGAGAGACACAGAGAGAGAAACATCGACGTGAGAGACACATCAACTGGTTGCTTCCCACACGTGCCCTGACCAGGGCCGGGATTGAACCTGCAGCTGAAGTACATGCCCTCGCTGGAACTGAATCTGGGACCCTTTAGTCCGCAGGCCAACACCCTATCCACTGAGCCAAACCGTCAGGGCCGAGGGCCCCAATTCTTGATGGGAAATAAGGACGTTTCATTTGTGAATTCGTGCTAGACGGAACGTTTCTTCCAGGCAGGGGCAACTGTCCCACTTTCCTGCACTTCTTCTCCCTCTCCTCTCCCTGCTCTGCCTTGCAGCCCTCAGCACGATGCTCGACGGGGTAAAGGGGCCGGTGCGACCCTGACCCGCAGGCCAGTGACGGGCTGGAAGCCAGCTCCGAGCACCGGGTCCCGCAGGCGGCGAGGGTTCCCCTGACTGGCTAGGCTGCTGCGGATAAACGTTTCATTTTTTCTAGCCCCCAGTTTTAGAACGTGTGCAAAGGGGCTTAGTTCCCTGTAAGAAGCTTCCAGACACTCACCGCTATTAACGCCATCAACCTCAAAATACGAGCAAACTCCTTCCAGCATCATTTTCTATTCAACTTGGCTATGGGCCAAGTTCCACGCTGAATGTACAAAAAACATGCAGGGAGAAAAATCCCTAATTTGCCCCGAAAGAGGTGAATCACTCAGACGGTAGCCCAGCCGGCTGATGGTGTCAGTAACAAGTGATCTTCGCCTAAAATGCATCCCCATCCCACTTCTCAAGGCTTCCCTCAGCAGCTGACCACTGAGCCCAGGGCCTCCGTGGCCTGGTCTGTGGGCGGGGACCCCCTGGAGCGCCAGCACACCAGGCTGACCACCTGCACACAGATGGCAGCGCCGCCCCCCTGCCCGGGATGCCCAGGCAGCACGCACTCAGCCACGGCCGGTGCTCCAAGGCCGGCTCAAGCAAGGCTTTCTCGGAGGCAGACGCTACACCCCATTTCTGGGGAGGCTGGGAGCGATTAGCTCGTTCAGGGGGCTGTTTCTTGCTAAGTGTGAGCTTGGGGATTCAGCTGAGGCCGGTTGGCAGTTCCCAGTAAAGGACAGACACGGCCATGAAGCCATTTCCTTTAGTGAGAAATAAAAGGCCTAATCAGGCTCACAAAGGGGCCAGCTGTGCCTCTTCTAGCAGAAGCAGGGTGCGAGTCTTGCCGGGTTCAGTGGGCAGCTTCTTGGTTCCGGCCAATGACATCCACCCGCCCCAGGGAGCAGCAGAGCGCTGTGAGCCAGCAGTCACGGCTCCCTCTGAAAGCTCCGCAGGCCCCCGCCCCCAGAGGCAGAGCCACACTCCCCACTCTCTCCGTCCAGGCCTGTGAACGGCCCAGAGGGAACTCGGTGCAACTGCTCTGGGCGAGCGGCTCAGCACAAAATGGAAGGATGACCCGTGGGTGGCGAAGCACTTCTTCTGAGCAGAGCCAGCCCAGCCAACTCAGCGAGCCCAGAGCTACAACCGGGCCGGGGAGCCTGCGCCCACTGCTGATCCCGGAGGTGGGAGGTGGGGGGTGGGGGGTGGCGCTGGCCTCCCAGCCTTTCCCTCTAGCTGGGCAGCGAAGCGCTGCCCTGTCTGGCCCGTCAGTACCTGCAGGTCTTTGTCATGGCCCTGCCGCTCCAGAATCAGCACCCGGTCCTGCAGCTCCTCCACCGTCCCCTGGAGCAGGTCGTTCTCCTCTAAGGTGGCGCTGAGACGATGCTCCAGCTCCCGTTTCCGATCCGACAGCA